ACCAGGAGTTACTCCGGAGATTAAGGATTAAGACCGCAAAAGCACAGGTAATTAAACGTCTGGCAGAGCCTTGACGATCAGGTCAGGGACACGGAGCCCCGCCAGGATTTTGGCAAATCACGTGCGATGAATGCGGAATCCTCCTGACAGGTACGGGAGCACTACGGAGGCACAAGAAGAAGGTGCACGACTCGATTCTATCCCTCAAGGGACCAAAGTTTGTCCCGCAACAACACTGCCTGCCAGGCACACACACATGCATTGCTTGCTTATCTACTTTCAAGTCGGTTTTCTATCTTCGCAAACACGTAGAAGCCTCAACCTGTCCCTAGGTAGAGCTTCTCCTCCGGAACCCAGAGGAACTCCCACAGATGCATACACAGCGAGAGAGCCTTCAGGAACGCCTCAGTTCAGATGTCAAGTCCAACCCCGAATCGGCTGCCACAAACCCAGAGTACCATGCCATCTTTATGGAAAGCTGCGTACTGTGCGGTCAGGCATTGTCAGGCCAGAAAGGAGCCAAACAACACATGCACAAACAACATCCTGAAATCATGAACAAGCTGGAATCAGGAATTCAAGAACGGCTTAAACCCTTTAGGTGTTGCTTCATAAGGGAGAGCAATGTCGTTTTTGTCGTCTCAGAGTAGATGCGCCAGGCAGGCATGTGCAGCAATGCGTACCACTTCTCCAGGCACACGTTCTTCAGGAGGTCTCCAGGGAAGGCTTGGACACGAAGCCAAGAGCCTATGAGCCAAAACAACGCAAGGAGGTCGCGGACCTGACGAGCTCAAAGAAGATACCACTTCAGGTCAGCGTCGGCTTAGGGGCCCCTCCCTTTAAGCTACAGGGCTTCTTGCTACTGTCCAACACCCGTAATCACTGTTACGCCAATGCAGCACTGCAATGCCTACACTGGGTCTCCCCGGACCTGAGGGTTTTCTTTCAGGATGCCGTCTCGATTGGACAGTTAGTTCATATTTCCCCGGAACACAACACTCTGTCCAGCCTTACTGTAGGATGGCACTTCGATGGGAGACAGCATGACTCAGCCGAGTTCCTCATGAGAATACTCCAAAACACAACAGCAACGTTCGGCTCCTGGGAAGCCCGAGCCCCTGTTCCGGAAGGCATAATCGTCGATGAAGAAGGAACNNGCTCGAGCAATGGTCAGGCCACACCCCGGTGCGTGCCCTTCTGGAGAGCTCAAATCTACTGTGCATAGCAATACCTCGGTTCACCGGTCAGGATAAGAATACCTCTTCATTAGCACTCGTAGAGACTCTAAAAATGCCAGTCTTTGTTAATCAAACCACAGAAGTGCAATGGGAGACTTACAAACTTCGCGCAGCAATCCTGCACTTTGGTCAGGAGAGCACATCAGGGCATTACAGAGCATTGGTTGGCCACGACGGAGAGTGGTATCTAGGTGACGACTCCCAACCCCCAGAAATGTGCACACTGGACAACCAGATCGTGTGTCGAAACTGCTATGTTTTGTTCCTCGAGAGGTACAGAGAAGCCGGGATTCAGCTCATAGCACCGTTAGGAGGCCGTGATGCCGCTTCAAGCGTTCTTCAATAAATCTATGGAAGAGAGCCAAGCACCGAAGCGAGGCGATCTAGATGGCACGGGTGGAGGTTCTCCCCCAAAGAGAGCTAAAGGTGGAGATCCTCCCCAAGACCTGCAAAAGTCGACGGGCAAAGGTGGAAAACAAAACCGCGGCCGTGACAGAGGAAGCGGCAAAAGGAACCCTCAGGGATCCACTCCCTCGATCCAAGGCCAAGACATGGCCGTCATAGAGATCCCCTGGTCAGTGCTCTAGACAAGCTAGTTATCAGACATGACGAGCAATTGCCTGTTCCAGTTCTGTGGAAGGTTCTAATTGTGCTTTGGGCTTTGGCGTTGTGGTGTACTGAGTACATCGATGGGTTATGGGCCCCTGGGTGACTGCGGCCTGTTTACTCTGCCATATGACATGCTTTCACCGCAGCATTTGATCCTTTCAGCACCATGCCTACTCGTTTTAGGAGCCGTTCGCCTCGGCCACAGCCTGAGGCTGCCGACAACATGGCANNTGGAGACATCAAGATGGCCAATGGTGGTGGGAATGGTTCGAAGTCACAAAGTCCTGGATCCGGAACAGAACCATACGTGACCGACCTCTTATCCAGGAAGAAGACGACACACCGTCTTCGAGAAAGCGGACCGGATCTCCATGAAAGGATCTCTTCAGTTCCTGAAGATAATTAATTCAAGTTTCCCGATGACCAGTACATCGGGTCGACATAAGCTGTCCCTCCGACTCAGAGCGCCGCTCCAGCAATGGACCTTCTGCTGCGTAGAAATGGCGTTCAGCCTTGTTTCGTTTCAAGCGCACTGTTATCATGTTCATATTACCCCACGACGGAGAGTGGTATCTAGGTGACGCCTCCCAACCCCCAGAAATGTGCACACTGGACAATCAGTTCGTGTGTCGAAACTGCTATGTTTTGTTCCTCGAGAGGTACAGAGAAGCCGGGATTCAGCTCATAGCACCGTTAGGAAGCCTTGATGTCGCTTCAGGCGTTCTTCAATAAATCCATGGATGAGAGCCAGGCACCGAAGCGAGGCGAACTAGATGGCACGGGTGGAGGTTCTCCCCCAAAGAGAGCTAAAGGAGGAGATCCTCCCCAAGACCCGCAAAAGTCGACGGGCAAAGGTGGAAAACAAGGCCGCGGCCGTGGCAGAGGAAGCGGCAAAGGGAACCCTCAGGGATCCACTCCCTCGAGCCAAAGCCAAGACAGTGGTGGCCGTCAAAGAGACCCCCTGGTCAGTGCTCTAGCCAAGCTAGTTATCAGACATGACGAGCAATTGCTTGCTCTCTCTTGCGACAT